TTTCATTCTCTTCAATACTGTGAGCTGGCTCCTCTTTTACCTCTAGTTCTATGACTATAATATCCCCATATCTCTGTACTCTGCCCTTTATGGGGTTCCTCCCCTCTATTCCTGTGCATCTATTCCAGTTTCATATTTCCAAATGGCTATCAGACTGACTCCTTCTTCCAACTGCGCTATTATGTCAGGAAGGGATAATCAATAGAGAGACAGACTTGGAGTCTGGAAATCTGGGTTTGAATCCTGCCTTATGTGTTCTCTAAGCAAACCTGAGAGAATGTTTTAAGCTTTCTGGGAGAGTTTGCTGTGTAAGCTTGGGCCATGATAGCACTAGTTTTTCTTCTCTCAGTTCCAGCTATATACATTGTTGCCAGTTCAGTTTCTCTGATGGTATGAGCAACTGGGGAGAGTTCAAGGAGGAAGTGAGGGAGTCTCTTTGGGCTCATTCCCCCTCCCCTCAATAGTCTTTGATTATAGGTGCAATGGTCTATTTCCTCAAAATGCTCCCAAAGATGAATTGCTTTCTGTGGATATTGCCTTCGGTGATATGCCTAATCACAGAGTCATGTCTAATTCTTTAAACCAGTTCCAATGTATTTTGTTGTCTGATTTGATCCAATGACTTGACTTTAACTCCTTCCAAAATGAATAAGGACTTGTTCGCACCTAGATTATCCTTTTAATTGATGTTTCTGATTTAATCCAAAGGTGGTCTCACCAGACAAAGGCATCAGGGTGTAGAGCGTCTTGTTGCTTAGATTAATTGGGGTTGGGAATCCAAGACCTTCTTCTTATACTTGGATTATTGCAACAACTGCCTAGATGGTTATTATGTCTTTATTCTCTTTCTTTCCCCTCCATGTTACTCCCAGACTAATATTTCTTAAACACTGTTATTATAGTTACACTCTCCACCCCTACCCCTACAAGCTACAATCATTATTATAATTAGGATAGGGTAGCTGGGGCTTCAGCCTAGATAGTTTAGAGGGTATTGCTAGAGGGTTACTGCTACCTGGGAGTATGTTCCCCAGATCTATCCACTCTCATCCGTCCTCTCCCTAGGCAACAGCACTGCAATTCATCCTCTGCCCATCTGGCTGCCTACCTTGACTACCAGCACTATTGATCTCCTACCCAGCTCATACCCCTAGTAGTTTACTCCCTTGCCCACCCAGTCCCCCTCCCCACCTCCCCAAATGGTAGAGAACTTTTCCCCCTTTGGTGAAGCAGCTAGCCACAAGCAGTGCAAAAACACAAGTTTTCTTTCACTCATAACACTCCCCAGGTAAACCTCCTCTCTCCCACCCCCCCAATGCCACCATTGTTTGCCTTAGATGTTTTTTTTTAATTTTGGGGTTTTTTTGGGAGGAGAGGGGGTGGGGTTTGTTTATATCTCTGGTTAGAAGGGTTCCCTGCTATCTACAATATTAAAACCAAAATCATCTCCCTGACGTTAAAGGCCTAGAGCCCTTAACAATCTGGTTCATTTCTACCTATTTATCTTATTTCTCTATTATTCCATGCTATAAAATATCTACTTCATTTATGTAAGGCACCTCACTGCTCACAGCACAGGGGGTGTTCATTCCTACCTCCCCATTCTAGCTCTTGTAGTTTCTCCCCAGCACCCCTCGTCACCAGCCTTTCTTTCCTCCATTCCAATTATCTAGATTCTCCTAATCTGTCAAGGTCCAAATTTAGGCTCTTTTTCTCTATGTGTACTTCTCAAATGTATGCTATTGGAATGTGAACTCCTTGAGGGCAGAGAGTGTATTTTTGCCTTTCTTTGTATCAGTTGAGGTATAGGGGGTGTCCAGGGATGCCTAGCACCTCTGGTGTGAGTGTTTGCCAAGCCCTTTCCAGGGCTGCTCATCCACCTTTGGTGTCCACCCTCACCTAACTCTCACCTGTGACTCCAAGAAGCTGTAGCATGGGCAGCAGCCATACCCCAGTAATACCGTCTTGGCAGAACAGCTAAACCATGTTGAAAGTAACTGATAGGCCTCAAACCCATCAGTGAATTAGGGGATATCTATCCCAAGCATATGAAGACTTCTTCCAGTAGAATGAGTGGATGAGAACAATGTTCCAGAAGCAGGCTTAGAGCTTGGTCATACACAGAACATGCCAAGGTCATCCACTGCGTCCTGAGACCATCACCAGTCATTCTGATTTTTGTTTTGCCCCTGGATTTTGATTACTCTGGAAGAGAGAGTGAGGCAGGCGATTTTGTGCAACTCTACCTCACATAAATCTAATTCACATATAAGACATTACCCAGTGATGTCTTCTCCGAAAATGAAGGGTCAACAACAACAACAATCCTCTGCGCATAGCACAGCACCTGGCAACATAGTAAATAATAAATGCTTGTTGACTGCCACGAGTTTTTCTAGGTGTGCAGTGAATTGCATGGACCTTAAACTTATAAACACCTGTGCTTGTGCAGTCTACCACAAATTGTATGGAACCAACTTTGCAATCACACGGGCATGCTGAAATCCCCAGTCTCTCCCATGACATGTGGTAATTCCTCACAACAAAGAAGTCATGAGGGGCAGCAAGCTGGCGCAGTGGATAGAGCACTGGCCTTGAAGTCAGGAGGACCCAAGTTCAAATGCGGCCTCAAACATATGACACGTGCTAGCTGTGTGACCCTGGGCAAGTCACTTAACCCCACTTGCCTCACCAAAATACAAAAAAAAAAAATACTGGTTAAGCAAAGAAGTCATGAGCCAAAACAAAGTTCACAAACCATTGGTCTTTATGAAATTTTACACAACTACTCCAGCGCATATTGATCTCCAATCCCTCTCCCCTCTGTAGCTCCCCCCTCCTGTTACACAAAGTTGGAATGGACTTCAGATGTCATCTGGTCTAACCTGTACTAGAATAAGAATCCCTTCTACAACATACATGACTGGTGGTAATCTACTCTCTGTGTGAAGACCATCATTGAGAAATAATCATGACGATAACAGCTAAATAACATTTATAGAGACTTACTATGTGCCAGGTGCTGTGCTAAGTGCTTTACATTTATTACCTCATCTGGTTCTTACAATATCCCTGGGAGGTTGGTGCTATTATTATCCCCATTTTGCAAATGAGGAAACTGAGGCAAACAGAGGTTAAGTGATTTACCCAGGGTCACGCAGCTAGTAAGTGTTTGAGGTTGTATTTGAACTCAATTCTCTCTGACGCCAGGCCCAGCGCTCTATCAACTATATCACCTAGCTGCCCCTGTTCCATTTTTGGATAGCCCTGATTATTTGGGAATTATTTCTTATGTCAAGCCTACATTTTCTTCTTTGTAGCTGCCCCTACCCAGCTCTACCTTTGGGGGCCAAGCAAACATGATCTCCCTTCATCATCCCCTTGAAGAAAATTCTCCAGGCTAATTATCCATAGTCCCTTTCAACCACTGCTTATATGGCACAATATCAAGGCCTGGGGTGGTCCTGTTTGCCCTCGTTAGGATACCATCCAGCCTACCACAGGGCCTGATACAGAGAATGCACTGAAGAAATGCTTGTCAGTTAATTGGTCAATAGCCTTCCCAAAATGTGGTTCCCCGAACCAAATATGATACCCCAGATACCCTTCAAGGCAGAGAACAGCAAAAGTATCTGTCACTTCCCTAGTTCTGGTCACTATGCATTTATTTGTTCTCTGATGTTTTCACACATATTAGTCACCCTTCCCTGGCTACAATGTCAGAGTGCTGGTCACTCAATAAACACTTGTTAATTGATTTGTTCATTCAATATGTACTTGTTGTTAAATTATTAGTAGAGGCAGGTAGGTGGCAAAGTAGATAGAGAGCTGGACCTGAAGTCAAGAAAACTTGAGTTCAGACATAGCCTTAAATACTCACTAGCTGTGTAGCCTTAGGCAAGTCACTTGCCCTCTGTCTGCCTCAGTTTCCTCAACTGTCAAATGGGGCTATCACCTACCTCCCAGGATTGTTGTGAATACCAGATGAGATAATACTTGTAAAGTGCTTAGTACAGTACCTGGCACGGAGCAGGCTCTTAGTAAATATGTTTCCTTCTTTCCTTCCTTCCTATTGTCTATTTGAAAGGTACGTATCTTTTTTGTCTTATTCATTTTGTGGGAGATTTTATTTTCTCTAGTGGAAATATCCACATCTTTTTCAGAACTCTAGGTCTGACATCCACATTCCCTCTCAGTTTTGTGTCCCAGCTTGTCAGTCATCCTTGTGACACTAAACAAGCTTCTCATAAAAAGGATATAGGTAGGGCCCCTTATACTGTTCATTAGCAATGCTTACATACTATTGAATGACATTTAACACCCCTGTGCTGTTTCCCCACCCAGAAGTAGTAAGTCCTTGGCAGTAATGTCAGTTCCTGGTTTTATGTCAGGATTAAGTTTTACCCTATAAAATGTTTTGCTTTTTCTTATATAATTATGTGTCTGAATTCACTTTTCGTAATGGGGCATTTCTGACAGAAGTTGGTTTTATGGGGGAGTTTAGGGAGAATTATGAAAAGAAAATCCATTATTCTTGGCCTGTTGTCCCACATTCTTTCACCCTGTAATTCCCTGTCAAGTTACCATTATATCATCCCAGCATCAAGCTGAAAGATTCCACATACTGAACAGTGGCCCATTGGAGCTGAGTTACTTGTCTGACTCATGTTTGGGTTAAAGAAAAGAACATATTGCATTAACACATTCTTACTGATTTGTCTGTTAAAATTTGGAGTTGATAATTATTGACTAACATTGACATAATGACATATTTTAAAGAGAAAGCATCACTTGAGAGCTCTGTTAAGTTTAATTATGCCTTCAACTTTAAAAGAGATTAAAAGGACCCGTTAAATATGCTATCGGCTTTACTTTATAATTTTGTTCTTAAAATCATAGCAGTCCTTTTTAAAATGATGACTTCTGGGAAGAGTTTTCACTGTGCTGGTTACCAAAGACTGAGCGATTCATGTTCATCCTCTTTATGTCCTTTACTACAGGTACGCAGCGTGCCAATGCTCGAGCTCCCGCCCCTTACAAACGAGATTTTGAAGCCAAACTACGGAACTTCTACAGGAAGTTGGAAACTAAAGGATATGGCCAAGGGCCAGGGAAGTTAAAGTAAGTAACAGTGATCTGTGGAATCAGATTTGTAGATGATCAAAGAATGACCTGTTTGGGAAGTCACTAAATTGATTCTGAATGAATATGACCAGGCTTTGTCTTAGTCTTCCATTGGTGTCCTGAATGAGAGCATTACATAATCAACTTAATTCTGAGAATAAGTGCCATTCAATTGTAAGCATTTTTTTTTGTTTTGTTTTATTGCTTTGAAATACCACCACTCGCTGTATTACAAAACAAACAAACAAAAAAAAACTACAGTTGAGGAGAGAAACGTATTTTTTCTCTTCTTAAAATGCCATCTTTTCTCAATAACTCATAGAATGTATGCTCCAGATGCCTTTCAACATGTCATGAATTAAATTTTACTATTACCCGAGTTCATCCATAAGCATAAATAACTTTCATCTTCATTTCTTCTCACACAATAAAAAATAATAATAGCTCACATTTGTAGAGAACCTTACAATTTACAAAGAGATCTTTAAATATCCTAAGTGATTAAAGAATGTTATTGCTCCCTGTCCATATACAACTTCCTTCATGTTTGGAACTACCAGCACAACCATATGGTTGTGCCAAGAATGAGTTTCCCCCAACCCTCTCTATTTTGAGGGTATAGGTAGGGGCCAGTTATCATTATATCATTTGAGATTGCCAAAGGAAGGGAATTTTCCTGTTGATTTTGGGCACTTTAAGCCATCCAAATAAACCAATGATATAGGAAATAGCTTCTGGTTAGAGTTCAAGGTCAAAGTTCTGGACCACAGCCCCATTTGAAGACTTCTTGGCCCCAGATGGAAGTCTCATTTCTCTCCAATCCCAACTTTTTTCCCAGCTGCTTACAAGGTTGCAAGCGATACTCCATAATTCTAATATAATTCATAATTCTCACATTTATATAGCACTTTACAAAGCATTTTCACATCTATAATCTCATTTGATCCTCACCAAAAGCCTGTAAGAATAAGGAGGGCATATATTATTATCCCTATTTTATAGATGAGGCTCAGAGTACTAATTAACTTTCCCAGGGTAACACATCTTAGTCAGTGGCAGAACCAGGACACAGATCCCAGTGATTCTGATTCCAAATTCAGGACTCTCTCCAATATAACCATCCTGCCTCAGGAATTGTACAAAGTAGCAGTAGATACTTTCCATCCTTTGACTGCTGCCGTAGACCTTCTTTTGCACTGAATTCTTAGAGAAGAGGAAAGCTAGAAACATCTTTTTTATTTCTCCCATTACTGGATGACCAAGCCATTAGTCAGCATCAGGCAGGCCAGGACATTATTACCCCTAATTGAAACCAAGGACATAAAGGACAAAAAATGTGTCTAACTACAGCTGCCTCTTAGCTACCTGGGGGTTGGTGACAGGAGAAAAGAAAAGCTTTGGGAGGTGCGCCCCCCATCTCCATCACTTATCCAGAAGTCATGTAAAAACTCCATTGTTTATGCGTAAGAATCAGAAGAGATTGCTGGTGGTGGGCAGAGAGCAGAGAGGTGGAGTGTATGGGGCCTAGGACATTCATTGGAGGGGTTAGCAAAGATAAAAGCATATCTTACCACCAATCATGCATATGAGAAGCGTCATGGTACAGTGGAAAGAACACTGAAATTATAGTCAGAGGACCTGGATTCGAATCATATTTCTGCCATTATCTACCTGTGTGAACTTGGGAAACCACGGTACTCCTTTGAACGTTTTCCCTCCTCTGTGAAGTGAGAGAGTTGGATCAGATTACTTCAAAGGTCTATTCTAGCTCTATCTATAATCATTTCATCATTATCTAACTTGATAGTGATAACTCAAAAAAATTCTAGCTTTCATGTGCCCCCAAATTCATTCTGGGGTGAGGGGCAGCTAGGTGGTGCAGAGGATAGAGCACCAGCCCTGGATTCAGGAGGACCTGAGTTCAAATCTGGCCTCAGACACAACACTTATTAGCTATGTGACCCTGGGCAAGTCTTTTAACCCCCATTGCCCCTCAAAAAAATTCATTCTGGGGCCACCCTGGTACATAATGCCTACAGATAGCTCTGTGGTTACTGAATCTAGACACTCCAGCTGCTGGGGGAGCTCCCATCCTTGCATCACTCTTGGTGGCCTCTCTGTAATCCCTGTTGGGGACCTCTTCAAAGGAGAGGAAAGGGAGAACCGTGTTGACCTTGGCAGTCATTGGTTATGCCGGCAGCCACTTCCAGGGCCACCCACAAAGGCTCTTTAGCAAGAATGTCTAGCAAAGCTTCTTCCATGTACAGAGTTGACCCTTAACAGATGACTGAATTGAATGTAGCTGAATAGAGTCAATGAAAAGAAGTTCAGCATTGGATCAGTAGGAAAAAGACAAAGAAAGACTATCATCTTCACCCACTCCATGCTTCAGGTATTGAGGTTTATGGGATCATAGCCCCAGAGCTGGGAGGGACCTTGGAGACCATCCACTCCAATCACCTCATTTTACAAATGAGAAAACCGAGGCTCCGGAAAGTCTTGTGCAAGATCACACAAGAAGTATCTGGGGCAGGATTTGAACTCTCATCCTCTGGCTCCAGAGTCAGTGCTCTTTTCACTTCATCATCGTGACCAAAATTGATGTTTGTGTAGGACTTTAAACTTTGCAGAATGTTTTCACATGTGTCCTTTCATCTGAGCCTTACAACAGCCCTGTGAGCTATGCTAGGGTCCTGCCATCCTGCCTTAGCACTGAGGAAACTGAAACCCAGCTTCTCCAGGGCTGCAAGATGTGGTCTTCCTGTCTCCAGGCCCAACGTTCCTTAGCACAGCACAGCACACCACATCATTACTTCCCTTTTGTCATCTTTATAGTCTTCCAAGTGTCGTCATTTCCTTTAAGAGTAATCGGAAACGTCTCTAGCAATAACTTTGTGCCTCCAGCAGGTGGTCCCTTAACCTCTGTCTGCCTCAATTTCCTCAGTGGGAAGATGGGAATAATAATAACACCTAAATCCCAGAGTTTCTGGGAGGATCGAATGAAATTATATTTGTAAAGCACTTAGCACAGAGCCTGGCATATAGTAGTTACTTTATAAATGCTAGTTATTATTATTATTAGATCCTTAATTCAAGACTTTTAAATATAACTCAGCTGTGCCTTTCTCTTAGTGAATGCCGGGATATGGATGTTCGAATTTAGAATAGAAATTAAGAATCATTGTAAACCTCTTTTGGAGAGATGTCTTCTCTCCTTGTTGTCTAAGTTATGTCCTCAGGCACTTAGTAACTAGATCCCTTGCCTAAGTATAGTGCATCCTACAACATTACCTAATGGGGTTGCAATTCCTTTATTAAACAAAAGTTTTATGTGCTGTATTTGGTAAGCATTTCATTCTTGGGGGAAAAAAAAATCATTTCACTGTGCACAATAGACTCTGGGGTTATTATTCCAGATCATAGGCAGGCCGCTCTGCCTACCAGCTTGTATTTTCACATGTACTTTTAAAAAAAATTACAGAACACAGTCGTGTTAGAGATGGCTGGTAATTTTTTTTTTAATTTTTTTTTTTTTGCAAATAAGCTAAGTGCTGCTTTTAATTATCAAGTTAACCTAAAAAAAAAAAAAAGAATATGGTTTTATGTAGAGAAGCACAGTATACATGCAAATGGTGTAGGTGTATATATTTTACATACGTATGTAAGTACATATTATACGTGCTTGTGTATCTCCCTCTAGGCTAAGTAATGGAAACCATTTGTATTTTTAAAATAATTATGTACAGGTTAATCATCAGAAGAGACCATTTGTTGGAAGATGCTTTTAATCAGATTATGGGCTATTCCAGAAAAGACTTGCAGAGGAATAAGCTCTATGTCACCTTTGTTGGAGAGGAAGGGTGAGTAAAACAGAGAAGTGGTCTGAAGAGCACAAGTTGCCTGTTATGCAGCTGTGCCCGGATGTTTCGCCACCATGTTGTGGTTGCCTGAAACAGGAAAGCATTCTGGCAGGAAATACCATTCATGTAAGCTTAAACCTTTAAACCCAATTTCTTTCTTTCTTTCTCTCTTTCTTCTTTTATTTTTCTTTCTTTTTTCTTTTCATCTCTCTTTTTCTCTTTTTCCTATCTCTCTCTTCCTTACATCCTTTCTTTTCCTCTTTCTCTTTTTCTTTTTTGTTCCCTGTTCTTTCTCTGTTTCTCTTCCTTTTTTTGATTTTTCTCTCTCCCTTTCTTTTTCTCACTTTTTTCTTCTCTCTCTCTTTCTTGGCTTCCACAGGTATTTAAAAATTATTTGACATTGAAATTATTATGAATGTTCAGCTGAAGACAATTTCTGAAGGATTTTTGGCTCCCTCTTCCTTTTATTTTGAGGGTCAAGGAGGGGGCTTGAGGGAGGGAAGAGTTTATATTTGATTGTCCACGTTCTTTAATTATGTGCAGTAGTGTGTTGAGTAAAAATTATTACACCGTATAGGCAAAGCCAATTTTACCTTTACTGGTTGAAATTCTATTAACCCCACTAAGAGATCCTTGTGAACAATGTTTCTTGAGCCCTCTTCCTAATTAGCTCCACCCCCAGTTTCTCTGTTTCCTTGGGAGAGGAAGGAAGCCATGCAAAATACCCACCTGACATAAACAAATTATCAAACCTTTATGATTCTTCAATGAGTAAGCACCTACAGATAAGGATTAGGCAATAAAGGTGTTCTAGACTCCCACACGGTTGAAGAATCTTGGAGCAAGAGACACAACAGTGGGGAAGTTCTTTGTCGTTTCCCATTGCTGTTCTTTCCCCATCTCCTCAATCCCAATCCTGCATTTGACTTTTCAGGGGTGAGGATGAGCTTAGAGATCCCAGGCTACCCACTATGTGAGCCTTGAAGGAGGCATATTGAAAAATCTCCAAGCATCTTGTATTAGCCCATGTTCATTTGCATGATTTTGAAGCCAGGCCTCTCAGTCAGCCAAGTTCAGGGACGTCTGTCTATTCTGCTCCTTAGATGTTGGACAGGGTCATAGTGAGATAAAGTTTCTTTACCTCCGGTTGTGTTGTAGGGCAGTGTTCCATGTGGATTTTTGTCTTGCCCTTGGACCTCCTTTGTCATTCCAGTTAATGACTGATTCTTGCTGTTTTTTTTTCACACTCTACCATTGTAGGCTCTCCCTTCCAAAGTTGGACTGAATGTGTCTTTTATAAGGCAGTCAACAATGTAGAAATGTGAAAATATTAACACGGAAGCTAAATGGTTTGACTCTCATAGCTTTAATGACCAGAACTCCCAAAGTGTTGCCTAGTGTTCATTAAGGTGACTGGGAGACACAGGCGTGCCAGTGAAAAATGAAGAAATATATTTGGCCTTAATACAGCTATGCATGGAATGTGAAGTATGCTCTGCCCCAACCAGTGAAGGGAGAATGAATTCCCTCACCTGACACCCCAGTTTCCTTCCTACATAACTTCATCTACCATGGGGTATTATTGTGCCATAATGAGTTTTAAGCACGAAGCTGTGGCTTGAGGAGTGTTAGCGAGCCATAAGTGAGAGACAGCATGGAACAGTGAAAAGGAGAAGTAGATTTGGAATCAACAACCCTGGGTTCAAATTCTGCCCCAGACACTTACTAGCTGTGTGACCCTAGGCAAGTTACTTCACTCCTGTGGGCCTCAGTTTCCCTTTTTGTAAAACGTGGGTAGTGGATGTGATGACTCTAAGGTCCCTTCCAACTCTAAATCTAGGATCTTATGTTCCATTGTGCCCCAGCCTTGAAGAGAACAGATTATTGTGATGCTTGATTATCCTAAACCAGCTTTCCTGTAAATTGAACACGTTGCTTCCATCTCCATGAGCAATGCAAGAGGAAATGGGTTTGGCACCTTTTTCTTTGATAAACACAGATAATCTCTCCTCTCCCATTTCCCAGTGGCTCTCCTTTTCTAGAAATACAGCTATGGACAAGCCACAGAGAACACAAGAAGCAGGAAAGTTCGTAGAGGCTTTGACTATTCCAGCCACAGTGGGCTGTTCCCAGGGACTGCTTTGGCCTATTCACCCACAATACAAACTTAAATGAACAAGACCAGCTGATTTCATGACCTCACCCCTAAGCAGCTGCATATGGAAGGAGATTCTGTTGACATCACTCTAGTATTATGCTGGAGTCTCTTTCTTAGATACATACTTAATCTTGGTCTTAAAGAGAAGTAGAATTGAGGAACAACTAAATTTTGAAAAAGCAACAGGTTGCTGTTCCTAGGGAGGAAGATAGGAACAAATTAAAATTAAGCACTTATTTCTATTTCCCCAAATATATTAAATAAATAATAAAATATCATTAGTCTTTAACTCTGATTTACACTGGGAATCCAAGTTGATTTAAATATTTTGTACTAAAATAATAAAAGCAAATCTGAAATATTTACTACTTTTAGCTGTACTGTTGCCCTTTAGAAATATTTCCTTTTAATGCTTTGAAAGCTTTAAATATACGCATCATTTTGTTTCATATGTAGCTGTAATGATGAAAAACTTGAAATTCTGGCAGATCTAGTTTATGATAAAAATTTAACAGAATTTTATAAAAGAATCAGAAAAAGTTTTGCACATCCAGTTTTCATACAAGGTGTCCCAAAAGTCTTAGTGCAGCTTTAAACTTAAAACTAAGATTCAATCCCTCTACACTATGGTACACTCTTGGCTACTCTCTCCATTGGCACAGAACAAGAATGACTCCTCTATACCTTCTCATCCTCTGTGATTCTCATCCAAGACTTTCTATAAGTTTTCTTTGTGCCAGAGGGGCATCCCTGTACCACTCACGCTGATTCTTTTGACACTTGTGACATCTTGTACCATATGGCTTTACCAAGAAAATATTGACTTTAACATGAGGGGCTTTTTGTGGCAGCATGCTGCTTGGAATCAATCCTTCAACATGTACATTTCTCAAATGCACATTACAGGCTAATCTTATCATCCTCGTTATTCTGCTTTGTAGTCAGCACTTTGTCTATCTGCAAACATCCAGATCTATGTTATATGCATGTGTAAATATGTATATTTGTGCACAGCATATGAATTTGCTGATGGGCAAATTCAATATACTATCAATCCAGCTGCTTGGTATAATCTAGACCAGAGGAGTCCAACACTAAGTGACAACTCCCCACCCTCACCCCCGACCCCCAGTGCAGCCCAAACCAAATTAAAATGTTAATTGGGGAAAGTTTGACAAAAATAAATAAAATTACAATATGACATACGTAATGTTAATTTGTAGTTTTCCAAGTCATTTTGGCAGCCAGGGATCCATTTCTATTTGAGTTTGACAGCACTGATCTAGAAAATATAGACTTTTCATCCACTTTGGTTTTGTTTTGTTTTTCAAATAAAAATGAATGAGCTGTTATCCCTGAAAGGACTAATGTCATTGAGGCATGTCTGGGGCATTATTTGGCTTATGTGAATGGAGCATTTGGAAAGCAAGTTATTCTTAGATTTGGGCTTTGTAGGAGATATCTTCCATTGCCTTGGTGATCACCTTTGAGCAATCAAGCAATAAACAAACATTTATTAGAGACCTTCCTGATCCAGACACTGTGTGTGTGTGTGTGTGTGTGTGTGTGTGTATGTGTGTGGTTGTCCTTTGTTCTCAAAGAAGACTAAAATGACATCACTATGTTAGAGTCAAGTTAACAGTGTGTCCAACTGTGGCTGATCAGACCAATATGAACTGGGAATGCTCTACCACAGTTCAGGTACAAATAGTCCATATGAACATTTGGGGGGGATTCTCTAAATTTGCACATCTTGCCTTTAGTTTGAACTATTTCAATTTTGCTTTACTCCTAGAGCCCAGCACCTTCTCTGATGAGGGCCTGCCGTGCTGGGCAGTCCTGTGCCAGTGTCTCCCATGTCATGCAATCAATTGCAAAGTTCTTAAGAGAGACCTTGAGAGTGTCTTTGTATTGCTTTTTCTGACCACCATGTGAGTGCTTGCCCTGTGTGAGTCTTTTAGGCAGATAATGGTGTACTTAATGCAGCCTCTGAGGCTGAGATGCAACAAAGTATGGATAGATTCTCTGACGCTTATGCTAATTTTGGCCTAACAATTAACACCAATAAAATGCAGGTGCTCTGTCAGCCAGCACCATACCATCCATTTATGGAACCATTGGTTACAACAAATGAAGAAATTTTGAATGCTGGGGATAAGTTCACTGGCCTTGGCTCCAGACACTGTCTACTACAGAGGTGAGAGAGTGGGGTAGAACTACAGTAGCAGACAGGGACCACTTTAAAGGTCTTTTGATTCTACTGGGAAAATATAGCATAGTCAGATAAGTAAATTCAACAACTTCACTAAGTAACTTCAGATAAGATAAGGAAATTCAGGATATGTACAAATTAAATACAAAGTTATTGTGGAGAGAACGCTAAAAACTAGAGCAACCACTCTTAAAGGTAGCACTTCAACTGAGCTTTGAAGGGAGTTGGGAGTTGGAAGACCCAAGCCAAAGAGGAAGAACATCCCAGGTGTCCAGGACAGCCTTTGCAAAGGCACAAAGGTAGGAGATGGATTATCATGCACAGGGAACAATAATAGAACTAGGCTAGTTTGGCTGGGCCTTTGAGAGTGTGATAGACTAAAGCCAGATCAGATCACAATGGGTTTAAATGGTGAACAGCGGAGTTTTTATTGCCAATAAAGTTTCTGTAGCAGCAGTGAATGACATGGTCAGACATATTCTTTGGGAATATTACTTTGACAGCTGGGGAAAGGATAGATTAGATAGGGGAGAAGCTGAATGAAGGAAGGTCTGTTAGGAGGCTATTACAATGTCTGGTTGAGAAGTATTGAGGGCTTAAAGTAGGGCGGTTGCTATGTGAGTAAGTATATCTCTTTGTTTTGTGTCTCACTTAGTATTAATAACAATCAATCCACAAGCATTAATTAAATGCCTTCTCTATGGTTGCATCTGCCATAGGACATTTTTACATACGTGTGGGAAACACCTTGTTTGAGAAAAACATGTTAAGCTTTATATTATTTGAACCTCTTGATCAACTGAATGACTGTGAAAATGTGTTCTACTATAAAAGTCATATACAAAAGTAAGCCTGTTACTTCCTCAAATTTTCATTAAAGAAACCCATGATATTCATGAACAAATCATTCCCATAGTCTTTAGAGATGAAAAAGCAGAGAGCATTGGATTAGAGTCTTAGGACCAGAGTTCAAATCTCAGCATTTCTGCCTCTTGTGTGACCTTGGTCAAATCACTGAACATTTCTGCGACTCATTTTCCTCATGCATAAAATGAAGAGGTTGGACAAGATGACCTCTAGAATCCTTCCCGGTTCTAGATCCATGATCTTATAAGCTCGTGATGGTTGGTAATTGTCGATGTTTTCTCAGTTGCCTTTTTCCCCCTTAAGTAGAAGTACCACTTGCATCCATTCTCATTCTTTTGGAATCTTCCGCTCTTTGAGGTATCTTGAAAATTATTCCAATGTACCTTTAAATTATCACCTCCTGGACACATTTGGTATTTGGTTAGGTTCAGCTGTCTTCCCCAACTTTACCTTAAGTATTTTTGCCACTTGGCTCTGGAATGATAAAAAGGACATGTAAATTTAAAGTATACCTCACTTCATAGAAGCCCCAGAATTATGGACTCATTGGTCTATAAGAGAGTTACATTTTCTCTAGGGTTTTTTTTTTAACCTTGCCTTTAACTACCTCCTCACTCTCCTGCCCCACAATTGATTTTAATATTGTCAAATTTTAGTTAAAATATTGTAGTTGTTGTTGTTCAGTTGTTTTAGCCACATCTGACTCTTTGTGACCCCATTTGGGGTTTTCTTGGCAAGGATACTGAAATGGTTTTCCATTTCCTTCTCCAGCTCATTTTATAGATGAGGAAACTGAGGCATACAGAGTTAAGTGACTTGCCCAGGGTCACATAGCTCGTAAATGTCTGAGGTCACATTTGAACTCAGGTCTTCCTGATACCAGGTCCAGAGCTCTATTCATTGCACTACCTAGCTGCCCCTTAGATAAAATTAGAATTGAGCTCAGTTGTCTTTTAGAAACATTTCTTCCAGATACTTACTGATATCGCTTGCCCTGATCAATGAACAAATTTGAGCTATGGTATGCATAAATGATACAGTTGAAGATAAAGGGCTGAACGTGGAATCATGAACGCCCGAGTTCAAATGCTACATTAGACACTGCTATATCACTGTGGGCAAGTCACATAACCTTTCTGTGTCTCAGTTTCTTCATTTTAAAATAAGGGGTATAGACTTAATGACCTCTAACTACTTTGAGTACGACTACAGTGACAATGACTATATATAGTCAGCAGCACCTATATAGTATTTTAAGGTTTGCAAAGTGCTTTTCAAATATTATATCCTCGGGGCAGCTAGGTGGCGCAGTGGATAGAGCTCTGGCCTTGGTGTCAGGAAGACCTGAGTTCAAATTTGGCCTCAGACACTTGACACTTACTAACTGTGTGACCCTGGGCAAGTCACTTAACCCCGATTGCCTCACAAAAAAAAATGCTTTAAAAAAATATTATATCCTCTATACTAACCCTGGCAGGTAGGTGCTATTAGTATCCCCATTTTGTCCCAGCTCTAAAGTTATGCTCGTATGAACCTGTAGGATCTGTGTTTCAAGTAGGCCATCAAATATAGAAAGAAAAAATTTTTTAATGGTTTTTAGTCAGCTTAGGTATGAATCAGAAAGTTTGCTGAGAGAGAGCAAACTCTCCTTGAAGCTAATCTTTGGCATCAGTACAAGGGATACTATAGTTTATTCTCATGATAGATTGGAATCAAAGAAGGATTGAGGCAAGATAAATGATTGGAAAATGTGTGATCTGCCCTTTGTAGGGTCCTCCAGGAGGCATTTTAATTGAGATAATGTGAATTCCCCGAGTATCACAGATGCCTTTGTTAAAAAGAAATCATAAAAATGCTTTCAGAATTAGCAAGAATTTTGAAGTCGTCAGTACCATTATTAATGCAGATGACTATGTTCTGTAGTGGAGAGAGACATTAGATTAGTATCTGCTGCTTACCTCTTGAGTGGTATTGGGACTTGAACTTGGAGTCAGTGAGACCTGAGTTCAAATCCTACTTCAGACACTAGCTGTGTAGTCCTGGGCAAGTCACATGACCTCTCTCTCTGTTTCCTTATCTGTAAAATGAGGTGATGGGATTGGATGATGTCTAAGGCCATTCGCAGTTCTATAATATATAACAACCTAGTTAGCTGAACATTTTTTTAACCCTGTTGCCTGGTTTCTTACAAAAGGGAAACTGGGTAATCTGACTTGGTCATAGTTGGAAGTTTTGTTCATGCCACTAAATTCCCAACTTAACAGGTTGGTCATCTTTTGCCAGAGAGCAAAGGGGAAGTGGAATTATGCAGTGGCCTGTAACTAAGTCATCTTGACAGAACATGGTGGGAAAATGTGCATTATGCTTGCCTTCTCTCAGGCTCCCACAAGCATACCAGCGATTGCTTTGTGCTCATAAACAGTGAAGTGCCACATGTTCTTCCAATTTATTATTTTCTTTGGAACTAAAGGTTGCATTTTATGCCCTAGAGAGTCAAGGATATGTTTGTGTGGTAAGGCAGAGAAGGTGGCTTATGGTCTTCTGCTACACCCTGGATGAGTCCTTATCTTCTGAGAACCCCGAAGCAACAAAGGTGTAATAGTATGGAAAAGGAGTGTCTCTTTTCACCTCCCCCTTTTTCCTATTATGGCCAACCCTGTCAAAAGGTGCCTTTATTTAAGATGAAGAATGAGTTCATTATTACTCATGTGCAATCAAATGATGTCAGTCACTCAGCTTGCAAACAGGGAGAGGATGTGTGCAAATAATTTTAGTTTGGGGGTTTCAGAGCAGTTGGACTCCAGGCCACATTTCATTCTGTACTGCTCGCCACAAGATGGATAAAAGAGTTCATCTAAAGAGGAAGAGAAACTGGAACTTCTTTCTAACATTTACAAATGAAATATAATCCTTCATGTTAAGCCCAGACTACATCTGGTAATCCTTAATTAGTATTTCTAGCCTTTATTGATACTAATAGCTCACATGTAAACTGTATAGTTCACTGTACAGTTTATAAAGTACTGTCATCAGAACAACCCTAGGAAATGCTAGTGTTAAATGTTATTTGCCCCACTTTGGAGATGAGAAAGCTGAGGTTCATAAAGGTTGACAAAAGTCACGTGTAGTAAAGGGTTAGAGTCAAGGCTCTAACTCAAGAATCAGGAAGACCTGAGTTTGAATCTAATCTCAGACACTCAGTAGCTATGTGACCCTGGTGGGCAAGACATTTAACTTCTGCCTGCCTGTTTCCTCTCTGTAAAATGAGGATAATAATAGCACATAGGGTTGTTATGAGGATAAAATAAGTGAATATTTGCAAGATGCAATACAAATCTTAAAATAATAAATCATAGCTAGTATATTAATCATTTATTATTATCATTATTCACAATAATAATAGTAGGCAATGTGGCCAATTAGAAAAGGTGCTAGACTTGAGTTTTCCTTAGTTTCTAGGTTTTCTTCAAACCTGGGTTCAATCCTGCCTTGGACACTTGCTACCCATATCATTCTGGGCAAGTAACCTCTCATTCTGGACGTCAGTGGGCTCAGTGGCCTCTAGTCCCCTTCCAGCCATATATCTATCAGCTATCTAATTAGCTATCACCTCATGGTAATAACTGACATATATGTCACACTGTAAAGTTTGTGAAATGCTTCACATACATTATAAAATTTAATCCTTGCAACATCCCTCAGTTTCCTCATCTGTAAGAGGGTAAACAAAGGTGACCCCAGTACTTAGCACAGTGTTAGCATGTAGTAAGTACTTAATAAATGCTTGTGGGCTTAATTTGACTCTATGGTCCCTTACCATTCTAGATCTATGATCCTAAGATCTTATCTATGATCATAGCTTTCCAAAGAAATAGGCATTGCAGATATTGTTATCCCCATTTTCCATGTGAGGAAACTGAGGCTCAGAATTTAGTGAGTAGCCCAGGGTCACAAAAAGATAGTATTGGGTTGGAGAGGATGTAGGAAAATTGGGACACTGATGCACTGTTGGTGGAGCTGCAAACTGACCCAATCATTCTGGAGAGCAATTTGGAACTATGCGCAAAGGGCAACCAAACTGTGCATAACCTTTGATCCAGCAATACCACTACTAGGTTTGTATCCCAAAGAGACCATAAAAAAGGGAAAAGGACCTACATGTGCAAAAATATTTATAGCATCCCTTTTTCAGGTGGCAAAATATTGGAAAATATTGAGGGGATGCCCATCAATTGGGAATGGCTGAACAAGCTGTGGCATATAAATGTAATAGAATACTATTATGCCATAAGAAATGATGAACAGGCAGGTTTCAGAAAATCTTTAAAAGACATGTATGAACTGATGCAAAGTGAAAGGAGCAGAACCAGGAAAACATTGCACGTAGTATCAACAACATTGTCTGATGGTCAACTATGAATGACTCAGTTCTTCACAGCAACACAATGATCCAAGACAAACACAAAGGACTCATGAAGGAAAATGTTATCCATGTCCAGATAAAGAACTGATGGACTCTGAATGAAGATCAAAGCATACTTTTTTCACTTATTTTATTCTTTCTAATTTTTTTTCTTTTGATCTGTTTCTTCTTTCACAACTGTGACTAATATGGACATATTTTTTACATGATAGCACATGTATAAACTATATCAAACTGTCTGCCATTTTCAGAATAGGGGAAGGGAGGAAGGGATGGAGAAAAATCTGGAACTCAAAGTCTTGTAAAAATGAATACTAAAAGTTTTCTTGACATGTAACTGAGGAAAAAAAATAAAGTACTACTAGACCAGAATGAGGCAGAGAGAGAAAGAAAGAAAGAGAGAATCAGATGCAAGATTCAGACCTGTCTTTCTGACTGAGGAATCTGCCCTTGTTTCATTGTCCTACGCAGCCCCTCCTAAGCAAAAGGCTATGAAATTCCATGGTAATCCCCTTCAGTACTATTGGTTTTAAATCAAGGAATGACAAGCTGATTTATTGTTTTCTTCAACATTTACCTTGGCTAAAGTATCTACCCACCAGATGCCTAAATAATTCAAATCCTGATAAGGAAAAATGAATGTTTCTGTGTTCTCAGTTCTGATTTGGTATGAGTGGGTCTAGACCATTGTTAGCAAGGAAGCTTTCTAACACAATGCCATAGTAACCTGCTAGGCCTTCTTAGATAATTCAATAATTAACAGCTTGCTTTTATAACTATGACAGGGTGAACTCAACAACAGTGTGTCTCCAAACTGACATACGGGACAGCTGAAGATCTATCTTTCTATCTTAAAGCCATCACCCAGGAAATGATTTTCAGGGGTTGTGGGTTTTTTTTGTTTCTTGTTACATCATTTCCTTTGCATTTGTCACATGAACGTTCCATTTTCAGTGATTCTTAGTTGAAAAAAAAAATGCATCAACTCATACCAGAACCCCCACAGCTTGTGTGGTATGTCAAACAGCATAGTACTACAGTGATGTTAGGCAAATGCCTGAATAACACTTCCCAGAACTTAAACCACACTGCTACCATAGGACATCTACATTTGGATACTGAAATGCTCTTCATTGCAGCTGTTGTGTGGCTACACGCCTGCTAACGAGCTTCTGAATTTCTGTGCCAAGGCTTTAGCCGTGGAACCAACCCGACTGGCAGAACAGGAATGCAACAAATGATCCATCTGATATGAGTCATATTAACTCTTTGTATAAAAGATGCTGTTGAGAAATGATAGAAATAGCCTGGATGGAGTGCTGCTCTGACATGTTTTGTTCAGTTAAATATGCTAGAGTAGGCATCTTGCTCTTCAAATTACTCTTAAGTTTTGTGTAGATTTAGGATGTAAAACACAAATGAACATAACTTACTTACCAACTAAGTGTTGACCTTATTGTGAATCTGTGACTAATTCCAGAATTAAAAAATGGATAGATGAAAACTTGCCCCATGAAGAAGGATGGTTCATCTTGGTTCAATTGTTGGTGGTTAGGTTGGTTCTCTCTGGGGGAAAAAAATCTATTCCTTTTTATTTTGCCCCATATGAGAGTATTAATCTTATTTATGCTCTGAACTCAGTAAAGAAGCAAAACAGAGAGGCCAGTCTCTATCTAAGAATGACAATGTTATCAACATTTTAAAGGGTTTATTTGAATATTACAAAGGACTAGACTTTTAAGACATATTCTAGCTATGAGATTTCTGCAAAATATTGTTTGTTTTCTTTTTCTTGGGGCAGTGGTGAGTAGCATAAACACCTCTTACTGCTGAGCTTGAAAATTGCAATCCCGCTCATTCCTTCACTGATTTGTTCAGCCAATGTTTTTGAGCACCTACTTACTTACTGTGCGTAATACTCTGTAAGACTCCTAATAAAATGCAAATAATGTTCATTTTTTTCTTCAGAAAGCAACAAAAACTTCTTCCATGGAGTGAAGATGCTACCAGAATAAAGTCAAAGAGTAATGAGCTTCTGATGTGATGGCTAAATTTTAAGCAGGAAATAAATGGCTTACATGTTACCCTCCTGTTGTACAGACAATATTGCATGAATTGTTGTAGCATTTATACATTTGCTTCATGTTCCGCTATCTATGTCCTGTATGTGATATCTCCAGATCCTTGAAAGCAGGGACCATGTCTGTTAAACTCAACTTTGTATAGCCTTCAAAGCAACACCACACACAGAGACTTAATCCAGAAAATACATTAAACCTAAGAGTATATATGATTGTACTTTTTTTTCCTCTTTATCTGATGATTTTCTGAATCCTTTTTCATTTTCTTGAAGTAATCTAACCCAAGAGATGGAGATTTATAATGAATAAAATGAATGAAGTGAATGGCATTCTTCTGCTCATCTTCCTACTACAGGCCTTCCCCTTTCCTAGTTGTGCCATAGTGAATTCCTAAATGAAGCATCTGACTACTTTTTGAAGTGGTGCCATAGCTTACTTCTTGAATGGCATTAATATACTTCAATCCTCATTTTTCTCCTGCGGCCCTACAACTTCAGCCACAGAAGATTCTGATTGTTTCATTCAGACCATTGTGATCCTCTTCACTTACCTCTTTGAATTCAACAATGTCACCCTAAGTCTGCCACAATCTTCTCCTAAGCTCCACTGTGACTCTCATAGATGTTCTACTACATTGTTATGGATCAAGTTCAAGATATTCATCCTCCTATTCAAAAACACTTATTAGGTGACAGCCTAGCACTTCCTCATCTTCCTTGTCTCTTTCTAATCCCCAGGCTATCTCTAACCTTGTCTCCTCTAATTTACTTTAAACCTTGATCACTTGAATCCAAACATTCCAGCGCTGCTTTGATCATCTTCTCAGGGTATCTTTCGCCTCTGAAATTCCCATTTGGCCATTTGGCAAGCCCTCTCTCTCTTCCTTCAGTCAAGAAGGCAGTGAAATGCATGGCAAAAGAAGCACTTCATTCCACAGTGGGTGGGAAGTTTCTGCATGGTGTAGTAGAAATCACAATGGAGTTGGAATTAAGAGACCTCAGTTTAAATTTCAATTTGGCCACCCTTACTATCTTTTTGCCCTTGGGCAAGTCACATCCTCCCAAGCCTCAGTTTTCTCATGTGAAAAATGAGAGGTTTGGACCAGGTCATCTCACAGGTTCTTTCCAGCTCCAAATCTATTGTCCTAGAATCATAAGAGTTCCAGGATGCCCTTCCTGAATAACTGGAAAGAGGCTGAACCCCCCCCCCCCAATTTTTTCTAAACAAACAACTTCCATGACCTCCTTCTCTTCCCCCACTTCTCACAATTTTACATCATGTACTTTATTAACTTCAATTTGTCACATATTCTAATAAATCCATGCCTTCATTGATGTGTGTTCCATCCAAACATAAGGATCACAATCCTGTCATACCATCTCATCCTGAGAGGTGCCATCTGTCCTCCATAGAAGGTCCTCCCCCAATATGCTTAGAAATCCTTTTCTAATTCTCTCAATTTCTTGGGGGCACCAGGGTAGTATCAAGGCTATCTATTGTCTTTAATGCTCATTCTCCACCTGGCCAGGGCCATTTTCCAGCCATACCATCTTCTTGAATAATACATTTTATTATTAAAGAGCTTTTGCATATAATGTTAATGAAATCACCAGTGTGTAGTTTCTCTTGTTTAACAGTTCTTATTTAACAATTTCTTATGTTTTCTATATTTTTTACATCTGCACCACTGTTTCAAGCTCAACATTTGAGAACTAGAAGAGCAGCTGTTTCATAAATCTTCTATAATTCTTACTAGAGTGACTTAACTTGCTTTGTGTCACTTAGGTAATTAATCTTGACGTCTTGTATGATGAACTACGTAAAATACACTTGCTACATATAGCACTGGGTGGAAAAAAACACTAATTTTTTGTTTGTTTTTATAGGCTGGATTACAGTGGACCTTCTAGAGAGTTTTTCTTCCTGGTATCCAGAGAACTCTTTAATCCATATTATGGCTTATTTGAATATTCAGCTAATGATACATACACAGTACAAATAAGTCCCATGTCTGCTTTTGTAGACAATCACCATGAATGGTAAGATGGTGGGGTTTTGGGAATTGTGCTCTCCTCTAATTATTTTTCTCTAACACTAGGTTATGCTTATGCTCTGATTTTTTTTTTCAAATACAGCTATCCACTTTAATTCTTGACTAAAACCACAGTTTTGCTTAGAAAGCTCATTTGATTCTTTTATGGTTGTTTTTAAATATATAGACAGTCTCCAATATATTGAATCATTTTTTTTTCATAAGACAATTTTTAAATAGGTTGCATGGAACGTAGAACACATTATCTGTGAAAAAAACATGTTATAAATTATGACAAGTTTCCCAGGCTAGCTCACAAAAGCTTATTTAAGGGGCAGCTAGGTGGCGCAGTGGATAGAGCTCCGGCCTTGGAGTCTGGAGGACCTGAGTTCAAATCTGGCCTCAGACA